AACCAACCAACCAACCAACCAACCAACCAACCAACCAACCAACCAGATAACAGATTTATTCAGGAAATCAAAATGATATTTAGGGTGATTCTACATGAATGTTTCTCAATGGAGTCTGAATGAAAAATATATGGAAATTTGCCATGCATACATTTCTTGAAAAAAAATCAGGTTTTGGATCAAAGACCATCAAAAGAAATGTTTAAAAATTTCTTATGTTTAGGTTTACATAGTCATTTCTTCTGATCAGACAAGCAAAGCAATGCTGATAGACTTTCCTTCATCAGATTCCTCATTACCTTTTTCATTCAAAATCTGTGCATTCCTCTGCAATTTGGTGTAGCTGTGTCAATTCTTGGACTCTCTGTTAAACTATAATATGTTTTGGAACTACTGTTTGGGAATTATGGAAGTTATATACAACATATCTGGAGAGCCTTAGATTGGAAAGTAGTTTGAAGTATTTGCTCCCTTGAAGACAAGAATTTTTAAGGCTTGTTAAGAAATGAATAAATTGCAAGCCCAAACTCTGCCAGACTTTACTACCATGAGCAAAAAAAATGTAGTTAGGCATAAAAACTGCAAAAGTTCATTTCTATTATAATTATTAGACAAATTGAATAAGACTGTACTTTATTTTACACAGATTAATAAAAGTCCAGTAATGTCCCATTATCAGTGAAAGAGAATACTTTTCCAAACAAATAGTTTTAGGACCAGAAAATGGAAAAACAAAACAAAAAATAAATAAATTAGTGCTCAAATTATTACTATTACTATTACTATTACTATTACTCTGCTGCACATTTTGGATGCAATCTCAATTGGAAGCACCCATAAGGTCCATTGCAGAGTACAGCCTAACTAAAATTAGGAAGCCTAAAACATGAGATCATGTGCCCCAAGAATCACTCCAGTTACTTGGCACAGTAACAAGCCATCTAAGCACACTTCTTATTCTTCATGCTGATATGGACAACGGTAATTAATATGAACATCAAAAGCAATAATTGTGGGCAGGCTGGCTATTTCTGCAAAGCTTGGCAAACTCTCAACTACCTGCTGGTTATTAATTTTTAGACATATGGAAGCTCTGTAATAATACATGTTAAATTGATTCTCTTCCACAAAATATAATGTAATGAAAAAATGAATGATCTTTTCTAGTTTAAAGCTAATTAAGTGCAGTCATATGCACTTTGACTGCTATTTCTCATAAGATAGGAAGAAATCATATCGCAAGAAACTTGATTATTTTTATGTTGTTTTTAAGGATGCATTGTCAGTTAAATGTTACATACCATGCTAACAATCACTGAAATTCCTGCACCAATACAATCACCAAGACCAATCAAGTATTTTTTTAAGAGTATGCTACAAAACTGAGTTAACTAAGGGTATTCATTTCCTAATTACCAAAGGATGTAGTTAAAATTGGTAACATTTAACAATAATCATTAACAATGATTACCATTAATGGATGTGTGTCAATTTTTGTAAAAAAATTGGAAGAATGTATTAATTTTTCTTCCCTACATTATGTTAAATCTTACATCTGTCCACCAAACCTGACCATACAAAGTGTTCAGAAATTTAGTAAAACGTAGTCCCACCTTATGACAGCAAAGACAAAAAGATTCCACAGAGGAATGTTATCGGCAATTGCCTTCCATTTCAGGGTTTGCTTGCCTGCCTCAAAAGTCCTGCTCCCCCAAATCCTTAGAAGACAAGTTACACCCATTAGGACTGCCAACATATATGGTATCCTGGAAAGAACCAGTTGCTGGATACCTCCAAAGTGAGCCATATGATGGCCTCTGCCTGTCACAGACAAACACTCGATCCAGCACAGAAGCAACATGTCAAGTGGAGAAATTGGGAATTCTTCTATGCCCTGCTTATGACGGAGCTTGATTCTTTATTTTCAATTCAAAAATGATTTAATAGTAGGGCAGCAGTTGTAGTATCCACACTAATAGCAAACTCAGTAGGAAGTGCTGAAAAAAAGAACCACTGGGAAATAAGAAGCAAGACTGTCAATGTGCTGGAGGACACTGCATGGCTTGGGAAAGTTCAAAACAATCTTTTTAAAACATACAACTCAGAAAATAATTGTAATCACGTCCAGAAGCTACAGAAGTGCCAATAACCATCAGTGTGCCAATGAATTTTCCTCTTGGCAACCTCCCAATTTCACAGCCCGCTTGAATTTTTTGTTTCTGATGAGCCCTATCACTACAACAGCCATTTTGAAAGTGGGCTTTCAGGGCAATCACAGTACTCACAACATGCTCTAAAATGTCAGTGTGCCCAGAGGCCAAAAAGAGGTGAGGAAACCAGGATACAGACTATCCACTGGAAAAGAAAAACAGGGCCCTGCAAGAGGTATAAGAAGATCCGTTTATCAATAGAATATGCCTGATTGGAACGCCAACACAAAATAATACTTTGCTACATTTTGCTTATATTTACAGCCAGCATTATCATGTGACAGCAGCTGCATGCGTACCTGTTGCTCTCTCCAAGGGACTCACGCTCTACGTTTAGGATCGATAATAAAATGTTACAGCATTACCTATTTATGTTCATCGCTATATTAAATAATTTATCACTATATAATCGCCTTCTCTAAATGTATACAGTTCCTATTAGCAATTTTGGTTCAGCTTTGTATTAATATAATTTGGTTAGAAATTTTAAAACAATTTTATATTGCTGTGAAGTATGTCCAAACCTGCACTGACCTGTGAGATCATAGAGGTGGTGAGAGCTGAAGCACCACCAAATACAAAAATTATTTTGAAAAGAAATTAAGTCACCATTCTAAATCAACATCAGCCCAAAACAGTGCAGAGTGACCAAATACAAAGTTTTCTCATACATGGTTTCATACTGAACTCAGTTTGTTCAATGTAGGGGAAGACAGGCTTAGATAATGCCACCTTGTAGTAAAATTAATAACTTTACCTCCAGGATAACCAAAGGGAAAATATATCTGGCATACTGTATACTGCCAGGTAGCTATGTTACCTAAACACAGCTTGAAATTAAACAGAGGACCCAAAGTAGGTCATAACTTTAAAGCAAGACAGGCAAAAAAGTGCAACGTACACTATGATGGGAGACAGCCTCCCATCCTGAAAAACAGCCTCATCCTTTCTTAATACCTGGACAAATGCACCCTGATAATTAAACAGTATTAATGCAGGAGGTATATGAGCTGTGAAGCAGGTGACAAGACTTCTCAGCAGCTGCCCGACTCCATGGAATACATAAATTATGAGTGACTGCAAACCTCCTTGCTTTCCAAGAGCAAGTAAAATTGGTATTGCATTTTTGATCCTTAGTATTGTTTGGGCAATCATCATGGATTCATTTAGAACTGTAATATTTTTGATTGTTTTAATTTTATTGTACCCTGAATTGTTCTTTGCCACCACTTCCACACAGTTTGGGGCAGGTTATAAACACTGGTGAATAAATAAATGGGAGGCACTCACTGCAAATTTTTACATCCATGACTGAAAAAAGGCACATCTACAAAATAGAAACTCTGAGTTCAGTTAAAACAAATTGGGCGGTAAAATGTTTCAAATAAGATGCTAAGTGATGTTAACTCCTGGTTATCAGCATGCTACTTTAGAAAGTTCTGCTGTCTAACAGGGAAAATCCTCTTCAGTTCCTGAGTATTTTATGCTTTAATCTTTGCAGCATGGTATTTTTTGCTTAGAAGAAACATTTAAATAAATGTCAAAACACGCGTTAAAAATATGTCCAGAGCTTTGAATGAAACATGAATGTATTCTGAAAGTGTTTTCTTATGTACCTGATTTATATAAGCCTGGAGCTTGCCTAAAGCAAGAACATAAAAAGGTATGCTATATTGTTGGCTACAGAATCCTGCAAAGTTTTATTGCCATTTAAACAAAGAAGCCATAACAGTTAAATGAGCTCAGGCAATAGGCTTCACTATCATAAGGTGCCAGCTGTAAAGAGTTATGGCTAATTGAATATGGAACTCCTGCTTAATCAGATAACTGCTCTTCTATTTCCCAACAAAATGCTATTTCCATACTGTCTGAAAATGGCCTGTTTTATTGGTAACTAGAGGAAACAATATAAACTGTAAACAACATTAAGTGCTCTGTTTACCCATTCCAGGCATTGAGGAAGTACGGGACCCAGGATGTCGTGGTAACATATTTGGCGGTGAGGCTGATGACAGAGTTCTCTCCGGAGGTCCGCCGGGTGCTGAAATGTCTCTCGGCAAGCCAGAAGGTGGTGGCACTAGACCCAGTGCTTTTGGAGATCCCTGTTTTGGTGTAACTGGGACAGGTGGAGGCACATTTTCTCGCACTGGGGTCCGATGGCGAAGTTCTGACAGAACATTCACATGCTTAATTTAGTGAGCAGCATTCCAAATGATTCAAGAATTGGCAACGCATGTACATTAGCCAAGCTAAAAGGAAGAAAGCTGCACTCCAAAAGTAGCAGAAGAGTTAGCAGATCAATCTGTTCTTGGACTTAACCCTTCCATAGTACAAAAGGGTCTCAGCTGAACAGCAACAATGAAGCAATGATGTATCTCTTGGCATTTTGGAATTAATACAGGATGACATAACCTACATTTAAATGCAAACCACTTATATTCAAGTATAAACCAAATGATGTTTGGGGTACTAGATAATTTTTAAAACGTTATCACGTACTATTCAAAATGCTACCAAACACACAGTAATTGTCCTTTGGTTCTGATCAGTGCAGAAATAAACAAGTTGTTCAAACGTTTGACTTTAGAAAATATTTGCTTATTTTTCTGAGTAGAACATGGAACAGTGGGATGGTGTGGGCTAGATTTCTGTTGGTGAGGACTAAACAGCAACTTCAAGTCCATACAAAAATGATCAGAGCAATGAGTTAGCAATGAGCTGTGTGTCACAAGAGCGTCTCTTGCTCAAAAGGAATGGGAGTTCCGTTAAATCATCCTTACATACATAAAACTGCCTTTGGCTTTCTGGGAATTTGCCATAGATAATGAGTTCTGAAGTAGGCCTTAAGGTGCTATCAATATGCTGATGGTGCTGCCCTGCTCTGACCTTGGTCTTGTCATTTTGCTGGTTGTGACTGAGGATCAGCCAGCCAACTGAAAGAGAATCAAAGCCAGACCAAAATAATGATAGTTCAGCAGACTCCAACTTGAAGACCACATGCATACTTGTCACTGATAAAGTATTAAGTCATACAGAACCACAACCGTGGGGATATACAACTTGAGCTAGGATTGCCCTGCCAGCAAAGCTGCGATGCATTGGTTCAGCTCTGAATTCACTATTATTATTTATGGCCGGGACCATCTCTGAACAAAACGTTTGTAGTGTAGATTTCAACAGCAGCACCCAAAGGGCCGGGATTCTATGTGATTTCTGTATCATTCAAAATACAGTTCAAATTGCTGGCTTGAACTAGGCTACTTCAGGCCAACATACTTTCAAAACTCTGCATCCTCTTTGGGGCTCTATAAGAAAAGTATCCATGTACTATGTTCAAATGACTAGAGGAAAATGAGTGGAGACTCTTTTTTCTATGGATTCAAAATACTATTTCAGCTTTGTCTTATTTCTTTGCTAGATATATAAGAATATTTTTTAATATTCTTTCTCTACTGGAAAGAAATAATTCTGAGGAGTCCTTGTATCTCTGTACAGAAATTTCTCCTTTGGATTTTGCCAAGCTTGAGAGCTTGTGGGGAAAAAACTGACCAACAGAAAAAGTTTCTAGTCATTTTATTTGCAGCCAAAGGGGCATAAAGAAAGACTTGGTGCTGGTGGAGTCTGTTTCTCTCTAAGAGTTAGGGTCAGGCAAGTTGGGAAAACCTACATCAACCCTGGATATTTCTACCCACCAACTTCATGGATTCACCATGCCTATTAGAGAAAGGGAGGAATCTTCTGCTTCTTTCAGCCACACTCCCTTCACCCACCCACAAAGAACCACTGAACCTTAGGAACTTCCCCTACTTAAATTCTTACTTAGGAACAGATCCTATTCATGATGGAGCAATGTTTCAAATTATTCAAAACCTCTCGTGTAAATACAATTTTCTTTATGAAAAGCAGCAGTTTTGCAGAGCTATTACCTTGGCCAGGTCTTGGAACTGCAGATGCTCCAGCAGATGGCGGCTCAACATCCTGTCAATTATAATAATATTACAAAGTGTTTTGCTCTATGGTGCATTTTCTAGAAAATTAGTACAGAGATCAGACCCTACCTTTGCCTTCTTGGCTTCTGGATCAAATCGTTCAAGGATTAATTTAGCAGCCTTATACGTTTCTTTTTCCATTACTTCTTCAAGCTAAAAATGAAATTCAGTTCTATTAGCAAGATAGGCCTCTTTAGATTTTATATCTCATGATATTTCTTTTAATGGCATAAATTAACAGTACAACAAAAATAACAATTGCTAGTGGAATAGACTCTCCTGCTTCTCCCTCCTCCAAAGTCTCATCTAGAGAACTTGGGGAATCCCCCCAGAATAAGTGGGAGAGCATTAAGATGAATGCAGGGGAGGGGAGAACAGAGAGAAGCCCCATCATTCCAGTGGATATGACCCAGAGAAATCCTGAAATAACTATTCACCAACTACACACATGCACATTAGTATGTCTGCACTCAGCTGAAACAAAATCTAGCTTCAAAAAGAATTTCTAACCTCTAGTTGTATTCAACAGCTTTATTGCAAGGAAACACCAAATATTGCTAATTGTTTACATATAATGAGGAGAATAATTACATGCACCAACTTCAATAATAGAATGTGCAAAAATCTATCAGCTATCATTATTGGAAGTTATTAGACATGACAAGCAAATGACAGGCAATTCCTCAGATTTATTTCCTCATAGCACTTAATGCTATTAATTTAAAGGAGGTCGTTAGCCAAGTGCTTTACAGAATAAAGTCTCTCTGCCAATTAACTGCTGTCAGCATTGATTTTAGATTATTTATTAGCAGAAGCAATTAGCTTGCTGCAAATGCCATGAAAACTCACTAACTGGGAGAACAGCCATGGAATTTGCTCAAATGACTTTAAAGGCTAAAGCTTCAGCCTTTACGGCGAGATTCAAACTGCCTTTCAGGAAAAAATAGAACATGTTAAGAATTTAAATAAAAAATTTACAGAGTACTATGCATACTTTAGGGATTGTAATTAAAGCACTTCATTATTACAGCATTTTATTTACAATGCACTCAAGCAGCTTTATAGCTAATACATGGGCTTAATTAAAAAAGTAATCACTAGTAAAATATCATTTTAGCAGTTAATAGCCAGCATCAGAAGAAGTTTAACTATGAATATTTGTGTTCTAAAATTATGACAGATGACTAATACGTACAAGGAATATGAAGCATTTTACAGTACATTTTGATGCGTCCCCTCTCCTCAGGTTCTTCTCACTGTTAAAATTTATTTCCCCTTTATAAATCCAGTAGTTTTTCTCTCCCACTCATACAGGCTATTATTTCATGTTCTTATTCTGTGCTGTACCAGAATTTTTTTCCCCCAAAATCTCCATTCAATCGTGTCTGATTCTAGGAGATTGTCTGGACAAGTCCCTGCACTTTTCTTGGCAAGGTTTTTCAGAAGTGGTTTGCCCTTGCCTCCTTCCCAGGACTGAGGGAGAGTGACTAGACCAAGGTCACCCAGCTGTCTTTGTGCCTAAGGCAGGACTAGAACTCACGGTCTCCTGGTTTCTAGCCTGATGCCTTAAC